ATATCCACTGCCATTGTTTCCATGTTCCTTAAAGGTGCAGTCGACGTTGATCGTATGGGCGGGGTCAGGCCTGCAGTTATGCCTCTCCTACTGGTGGAATTATTTTCTAACGCTGTATAGAGGAAGACACTTAATAAATACAAAACTATCTGAAAATAGACATGATCTGTCTCGCCTTTTCTCGGATGAACCCTCTTCACTTCATAACTCCGAGGCACCTCAAAGATTCGTCTAGTAGGTTATAATCCTACGTCATATATCGACTTAGCCACTATTATTATTTGGATGACCCATTCAAAATCGAATATACTTTTTTGAATTTTCAATGCAGAATTTCCCATTGAAATGTATGTGCTAATGCAAACGAAAATAGAATGAATGGACTGTGCTGCACGAGCGAATGAACACTTTGCTTGTTGCCCTTAATTTTTATGTATAAGGGGTACGTTGATTCGCCGCTTTACTTACGGTTATCTGAGAATTGTGTAAGGTGTAGGACTCAGGGCATAATCTGAGCTTGGAAGCTGTGACAGGCTCAAACCTAGGCTGGAAGCTGTGGTAGGCTCAATCACATTCTTGTTCACTACGGATGCTGAGTCGTGGTAGAGGGATGAGTTTGGCTCAGCTCTAGCCCAATTTCCTGACAATTTCCTGATTGTTGATTGCCCCTGTGTATTGAACAATAAATGGAGAACAGGCTATGGGCGCGCCAAACCCAGCCCACTGACGCGCCCCAACATCCGCAGTGAACAATACTACAAGGAGGTTGATCTCTAGAAATCTCAAAAACCACCCACTTCGACACAAGATTCCATGAACGAGTCAAGAGGCACTTGTCTATTTCCGTCAGATCAGCAAGTGACATCATCACACCTGCAACGTCTTTGGAAATCAAATTAAATAGTATCTGGAAGTTACTGCGATGACTAGTCAATAAGAAAGGCGGTTATCCGTTGAAAACGTTAGATAAGAGGGTTGAACACCTTGAAACAGAGAAATGTGAGTAACGATTGACCTATCAGTGGATAAGAAAGTCAGAGAAGCCAC